CCGAACGATGGAAGATTAGTTCTGCCTCGCCCAACCTCTGAGGGCTAGACTCCACCTCGCCCGATGGCTGAGGGCTAGCTCCGCCTCGCCCGACCCCCGAGGGCTGGCTCCACCTCGTCCGATGGCTGAGGGTTGGCTCTGCCTCGCCTGACGCCCGAGGGCTAGACTCCACCTCGTCCGACGTCTAAGGGCTGGCTCTGCCCCGCCCGATGTCTGAGGGTGGGCTCTGCCTCGCCCGATGACTACACCCTGCTCCTCCACGATGACGAGCACAAGGTACGATAGGACATTCGAGTCAATCGCAGTATCGAGGACCATGCCCTGCATGCCTGCAGGAAGGTACCGTCAGGATACGATGGGACGGGCGCTTTAAGCCCTTTCCGACATAACAGTGCCAGAATAGTGTTGTAGGCGCCGACTTTTGTCCCACAATGTTGTAGGCGCCACCTTCAGCCCTCGGGTGTGGATACCAACACATGCATACGACAACCACTACAATCCAAGGAAGAACTCACATCATCTACGGTAACAGGCGTATAGTCATTTCCCCGTCTACTCCTCGCAGAGTCATGGCTCGGTGCCCTGACACCCCGCACCATCTGCCGGGGGAGGATGGGATGTAACCACTCGCTGAAGCAAGGCCAGGGCATTGCCCTATCAGGGTCAGCGGACGTGCTATCCCTGGCATGATCTGCCATGATAGCGGTACAGGCTCAAGGGAAAAGGAAAGCTCGACACCTCCGAAGGGCGACCTCTACCTTAGGTTTTTTCCTCTTTCTCCCATCTGTAAATCCCCTGCTCCCCCTTGGTCTATAAAAGGGAGGGCAGGACACCCCATGAAAGGGGGATCAATTCCACACACAACACATCACGCATATAGCCAAGCAGCAACCGAGCTCTTGGCGTCCTTTCGACCATTTCATCAGAGACTTGGGACTTGTCCCTCTCTCGACCATTTGTACCCCTTACTACAAACCTTTTTCGGTACTAATAACATGTGTAGTAGCAGACTGGACATAGGGGCATTCAGCCCGAACCAGTATAAACCTTGTGTCCTTTAGTGCACCATCCGGGCCTAACGCGCAACAATTATAAATTCACTAGCCGGTGTTTGTTCGAAACACCGACAGTATGCCTTTGCACCCTTCATGGCTTGAGTGCCCTCAAATGACTCCTCCAACTTCTTCCATGCCTCATGAGCCATCTCAATGTTCTTGATTTTCTCAAATGTTCTTTTATCCAAAGCATCATGAATGGCACTAAAAGCAATGTCATTGTTTTGGAGTGGCACTTCTTCGGCGGCGGTGGGAGCTTTGGCATTGGCTACCTCAATCTTGTTCTCTACCGCCTTCCACATCTTTCTATTGATTGACTTGATGTATGTTGTCATCTTTGTCTTCCAATAAGGATAATTGGAGCCATCAAATTGAGGTGGCTTCTTGGTGTTGTTGATTTGAGCCATTTTGACACCAAAGGTTGTTAAGCCTCAAATCACGGTGACCACGGCTCTGATACCACTTGAAAGGTCCTAATGGCTATAGGAGGGTGAATAGCCTATAAAAATTTCTGCAACAACACTAATCAAAGTGTTTAGACAAATATGAGGCGAAGCAATTCTTGCGCTAGCCTACTAAAAATGCAAGCCACCTACCACAATTCTAGTTACTATAGTCTCTAAGCACACAATTCTAGGTCACTACCACTAAGTTAGTGAGCTCTCAAAAACTAACTAAAGAGCCTTACTAACCACTAGACCCAACAAAAGCTAGCTCTCAAAACTAATTATACTAAAGAGCTTAGCAACACTAGGAAAGTAAATACAAGGGTGAGCTCATGAGGTTATACTGACGTGGCAAGCGATGATCAATCAATTACGAGAGAACAAATGAAATCGTTGGGACAAGATGACACAATGATTTATCCCTGAGGTTTACTTGCTTGCCGGCAAGCTACATCCTTGTTGTAGCGATTCACTTAGAGGTTCACACGCTAATAGGCATCACACGCCTAACCTGCAATCAGGTGCTACACAACGAACACAAGATGGGGATTCACAAGCTACGAGCAATCCACTAGAGTACCTTTTGGCTCTCCATCAGGGAAAGGTCAAGAACCCCTCACAATCAATACGATTGGAGCCAAAGACAATCACCTTCCTCCGCTTGACAATCCTCACTGCACCAAACCGTCTAGGTGGCGGCAACCACCAAGAGAAACAAGTGAAATCCGCAGCGAAACACAATCACCAAGTGCCTCTAGATGCGGTCACTCAAGCAATGCACTTGGATTCACTCCCAATCTCACAAAGATAATGAATCTATGATGGAGATGAGTGGAAGGGCTTTGGCTAAGCTCACAAGGTTGCTATGTCAATGCAAATGGCCAAGAGAGTGAGCTAGAGCTGGCCAAACACCTTATATAGGCGTCCCCTTGAAATAGAGCCATTAGGTCTCTATCAACAGTCAACTCAGGGTGACCGGACGCAGACTCCCCAGCGTCCAGTCGTGGATCTCCGTCCATGTGTCCCCCCTAGTTCAACGTCGTCCGTGTGATTCCAACGGTCAAATCTCAGTGGTCTTTGCAGTTAAGTGATGACCGAACACGCCCAAGATAGGATCGAACGCACTGGTGCCACGCCTGCTCACACGCGCCCTCGCTACTTCACCCAACGATCGGACGCGCCGCTCCTCGTGGAACCCCAGCGTCAAATCAACTCTAGTAAGCATCCAGAGCCGATTTTTCTCAACCAGACAAGTCAGGTCATGCATGACCGGATGCATCGGTGAGTCCGGTCACCTCTGCCTCGCTCTCTTGCTTGCATTAGTGTACGTCATCTCCTGACTGGACGCGCCTACGTCCGGTCACAAACACTGTGCAGCATCTGGTAACAGGCCAGACCAAGCCCAAGCGCGCAAACTCCTCTATAATTGACCGAGTGCTCCACCACCGAGTCCGGTCACTTCAAAAGCAGTGTCCGGTCACTGGAAATTAGTGCCTCCACTTCACCAACTTCTCCACCCTTGCTCAAATGTGCTAACCACCAAATGTTTCACCTTGTGCACGTGTGTTAGCATATTTTCACAAACATTTCCAAGGGTGTTAGCACTCCACTAGATCTAAATGCATATGCAATGAGTTAGAACATCTAGTGGCACTTTGATAACCGTATTTTGATACGAGTTTTACCCCTCTTAGTAGTACGGCTATCTATCCTAAATGTGTTCACACTCACTAAGTGTCTTGATCAAACCAAAAAGCACCTATCAAGTTTCACCTTTGCCTTGAGCTTTTTGTTTTTCTCTTTCTTTTTTTCTAAGTCCGAGCACTTGATCATCACCACGCCATCACCATCATCATGATCTTCATTTGCTCTATCACCTGGAATGTGCCTCCCTATTCTCATGATCACTAGAGCAAGTAGGTTAGCACTTAGGGTTTTATCAATTCACCAAAACCAAACTAGAGCTTTCATCGGGGCACGCTAGATCCACCGCTAGAGCGCCGTCGGAGCAGACCTCCGCCACCGGGACACACGCCACCAAGACGCCCACGCCCATGCGAGGCCGCGCCGCTAGGGGAGGGGAGAAGGAGGGTGGTGGGGCCGCTCGGGGAGGGGAGAAGGAGAGGGTGATGGAGAGGGAGGGGCGCGTTCGTGGAGGGGATACCGAGAGGGAGGGAGCGTTCTCGGGTAGGGGAGATGGAGACCGGTGCGGAGAAGGAGAGGGGCCCCGCGCGTGGTCTATCGGGAGAGGACGGAGTCGAACAAAGGGAGGTGGGGAAACGAAACCCTAAGTGACATAATTATATTCAAACGCGCCTATTGGGCCTCGCTTGGTCCTGTGTTGGGCCTCGGCCTTTTTTTGGCGGGCCATATAGGAGGCCCGCCTCCGTTAATAGATTTTAGGAGGCAGTTATTTTTTAGCTGTATCTCTAAATCAATTTTACGAGGCGGTTAATTGTAACCGCCTCGGTTAATAAAAAACGATTACCTCGGTTAATCTCAGGCATTAACCGAGGCGGTTGAAATTCCTGCCAGCCTCCGAGGCCCATTTTCAGACGCCTCACATAAGTTTTTCTGTAGTAGTGATTGCCTGGGCGGCCTGCCTCCCCCGAGCCCTTGTCTTCTAAGCCCACCGGAGTTGGGGAAGAAGAGAGGGAGAGTCAGACCCTAACACCGCCATCTTCTTCGTCTCTGGTGCAGTCGGGCGCGACCACGGCCCGTGGGAGGAGGTGGGTGAGTGATGCAATTGCAAAATTTCAGGCCACTGCAAAGGAGTATAACTAGTATCTAAATGGGTGTTGGATTAGAAAATGAATACATATAGAGAATAAATAATCAGTTTTTTAGAATGAGAATAAATAATCAGTTTTGATTACTTTTTTGTGCTAAATTTATTCACTAAAATTTCAATGTAGGCCCCGTTCGCGTGTCCTTAAACCCGGCTTGATCCGCTTATTTTTTTCATCCGAACAGTGTTTTTCTCTCACAAATTCCTCCCGTATTCTCCAAATCATCCAGATTCTTTCAAAATTCAGACAAACGAACAAACCGTACAATTTCCTCGAGCACGAATTGATGAGCTTGTACAATAAATATGTACCACGATACACGCAACATAGCCGGCGATTTATGAGGTTTGGTGCATCTAACACATGTAGAATAGTCATCTTAGGTGTAAAGTTTGGCAGGGCAGTTCAGCTATCTATCTGCCATCTTTGTCCATCTGATTCTCCAAGCTCCGCGTCTGGGCAAACCGATCAACTACTGTTATCTAAACTAGGGCTAGTAGGATCCCACTGGAAGCCACCATTACGCATATAATAATAACATAAACCTACTGGTAATCCTCCCTGTGTTTCTTCCTTGCTGTAACACGCAGCCACCAATTCCTTCTTCCTTTTCCCTTCCAAGTTATTCTAAGCCAGAAGAAAGAATACATATGGTTCCATATATAGCCTTTTATTGACACAATGCAATTGCAAGAATATCATCATCGGTAATGGCAACGACGCCGGCACCGCAGACCGCATCGCGGGTCGCCTCCGGCCGGCTCGTATTTGGCAAGCCAACTGATGATGGCAAGGTAAAAGGTGGAATATTGCGTGGTGTGAGGAGCTTTGGCAATAGCGGCGCTGGTGCCGGCGGTGCGTGCGGTAGGCGTGTCGCGGTGGAAGCTGTCAATGGCGCTGTCAGGCCGAACGGCGCAGCGGCGGTGGCCGACGTCCGGCAAGTGCCCGCGCCGCCACCGGCGTCCGTGGAAGGCGACGACGGCTATGCCTTCCGGCTAGGTAAGTTTGTGGAAGGGAGGCTTGTGTACAGACAGCAATTTGTGATCAGATCCTACGAGATCGGGCCTGACCGGACTGCCACCATGGAGACCCTCATGAACCTCCTGCAGGTGCATGCGAAAACACATTTATTCAGTCTGAATCCACCATTATATATATATGCATCTCAATCTCACTGTATGTGTATGATCGCCGTTCGCCCAATCTTCTCTGTCTACTTCTTGTGCCATGGTCTGAAGATTGCCCAGCAAATCTGATATCTGTGCAGGAGACAGCACTGAACCATGTGATGTGCTCCGGGCTCGCTGGGGACGGTTTCGGTGCGACGCGGCAGATGAGCCTCAGGAAGCTCATCTGGGTCGTCACAAGAATCAACATCCAGGTCGACAAGTACAGCAGATGGTAACTACTGCACATACAGAAATTAAAAAAAAAACTGAACTTGGTGATCATCAGTCATGTTTATGTACTGGGTTTCACTTCACATGCTCCTCTTGCTTGACAATGACAGGGGAGATGTTGTGGAGATAGACACCTGGGTGGCGTCGTCAGGGAAGAACGGCATGCGCAGGGACTGGATCATCCGCGACCGCAACACCAAGAACATGATTGCAAGAGCCACAAGGTAAAATAACAAATCCCCCAGTACATTGCAGGTTACAGCTGTGAATCAGTACTGGGGTGTATAACAAGCTGGGAATGTGATGTGATGAACTTCTGTTTTTGTGCAGCAACTGGGTGATGATGAACAGAGAGACCCGGAGGCTGTCTAAAATCCCCGACGAGGTCAGGCAGGAGGTGCTTCCCTTCTACCTGGACAGGAGCATCATCGCCGCCGATGCCACCGGCGGCGGTCACAAGATCGAAAAGCTCACCGACTCGACGGCGGAGCACATGAGATCAGGACTAGCAGTAAGAACCACAACACCTCCCTGCACATGCTCGTTCAGAGCTTCTCATCCCTTTTGGTTGGAACTGCTCTGAAGTCTGAACTGAACTTGTTCCCTTCAGCCCAGGTGGAGCGACATGGATGTGAACCAGCACGTGAACAACGTCAAGTACATCGGTTGGATCCTCGAGGTAGTTTAATTCAGAGCTTCTCACACCACCTCTGAATGATATGATGCAGTTCTGAAAGCTGAACACCTGAATGCAGAGCGTGCCGCTGGACGTGCTGGAAGACTACCACCTGACGAGCATCACGCTGGACTACCGCCGGGAGTGCCGTCAGTCGCAGCTGCTCGAGTCGCTCACCAGCACGACCTCGTCAGCGCCTGCTGAGCAGCCGCCACCGCCGCCGTTGCCGTCGAGCCTGTGCAGCTCCGACCTGCACAGCACGCACCTGATACGGCAGCAGGATGACAAAGCCGAGATAGTCAGGGCTTGTGCGGAATGGCGTCGCAAGGATCATCGAGGGTCGATGGAACAGCTCTGACATGCGGTTGTAGTGGTATATATACTCTGTTTCGTTTTGCTTGCTTTTGTTTCAAGATTTGTGTATCTTCGCTTGTGCTTAGGTTCTTCATTCTTTTGATCGAGCTGCTCTCTGCTTGGATGTGAGATATCATGTTTGATTCCAAATTTTCCAACTCAGTGAATAAGAGGCCTCTTTACTTGATTGGGAAAAAAGTAGAATAAAGAATTGAAGACTTAAGTCTTGTTTGGTATGGCTTCAAGTGCTCCGGCTCCTCTGAAAAACATTATAGCAACACGGATAGGTACTGTAGCATAAAGCTATTTCCGTTTTCGAGATAAAATATGAACTGGAAAGAGGAGGAGCCAGTGGAGCCATGATTTCTAGCTCCACCGGCTCCACGCTGCATTAACAAACAGTGCCGGAGCCGGACGACCATTTACTGGTTGGAAAGGAAAGCATTTTCAAATGGGGCATATCACTTATCAGTGTCGTAATCAGTTGCCCTTGATTTTTTTTCGAGTCCTAAGAGGAGTCTCGAAGAAAATACAGTACTAAAAATCTAGATTCCTTTGGCAAAACGATCAACACAAAAAGGAATACATGCTACTTTAGGTGGCATGTTTTATGCCAACCCAAAGAAAAATTGGATCTAGGGATAGAAAACTTAGACATACAAAATAAATCTCTTCAACAAATGATAGCTTTTAAGAATCAAATATGCTTAAAGATAAAAACTCTTTCACAAGTTCATAAGAAGGCTGGTGATTCTCAATTTTGGATGAGTCTCGTGGGTATTAAAGAGACTTTTTAGGCCCCATTCGCTTCGCTGAAAAAACAAGCCGAAACACTGTTTCGGCTGATTTGTTGTGAGTGAAAAATATTATTCCGGCTGAAAAAACAAGCTGAAAAGTACGGATTATAAGAGAAGCAGGGCTTAAAGTCTTTGGATGCCATTCTCGTGTGTGCCATTAATATAGTGAATTATTGACTAAGACTTCATGTGTGAACATGGGGTTTATGGCTCTTCTATATATAATCATTCACAACACCTTTTTCGAGATCCAGAGTCAGTTGCTTCAAAAATGTCCATTGACCATAAATTTTCCTCCATGTGTATATGACATTCTACGGATATTTTTCTATCTTCAATCTCCATTGGGTCTTCTTGGCTCAGATGATTTATGCTTCCATTTGTCCTCAACTAGCAAGTTAAGGCACCTCCATATTTCAGGAATATTAGATCATCGTCAAAATAGTATGGAGGGTTAAAAGGGAGATCTTCATAGAGGGGTTCGAGGTTTGGAAGTGTAAGATGATGGTGGTTCAGGAAACTCTTTTTGTTTTTTATGGACACAGGGCTTGTACTTCTCCCATGGGCTCGGCAAGACCCTCGGATGACTCCTCAGGATGCTCATCATAGATGCCCGTTAATAGGATATTTTGAAGTTTTTTTTTTAAAGTATGGCCTTCGCTTCATTAACGGTCATGTGTGTGAATGAGCCCCTTGAGGCTACACCAAGGGATTTGTGTAGCATCTGGATTGAGACCAAAGCTGAAATGTTGCATAAGCATCAGCTCCGAAGTACCTAGATTTGGGCCATATGAGATAAGATTCGTAAAGCAGGCCTAAATGGCCCCTAATGACTCCTTTTCTCTTTATTGGAAGAGCAAAGAGCTTGACATCAGAGACTCACTATTCGAGGAATGGGGAAGAAGGTGAGGTAGAATTTTTCTCATACCTCTCCCAATTGCATTCTACACTTCTTACGAGATGTGGGAATACCATTGCTTTGCCCTTTCCATTAGAGAACGGGAAAGCTTCCATGTTAATATTTCTTGTAGCATGCCATCCATGATGAGACGAGAACAAAATTGCTCAAATTCCCGTGAGTTAGTGTAGGGGTTGTCTTCTTTAGTCCCCGATAATGATTTGCTCTAGAACCATGGCCATGAAAGTCGAGATGTAGCTCATAGCCGGGTGTGTAAGGCCTTGTATGGGACTTGGGAGGGCTCCTCCCCAAGTGCTCCTCCGGAGGAGCCGGAGCCGTTTTGTAGGAACCACAATTTGTGGCTCCTTCCAAACAGCTTTGGCTCCTCTTTTTCACTGAAAATCGCTCCAAAGGATTGGTAGGGCTCCTTGGGAGAAGCCGGAGCGAGAGTCGGAGAAGGGCCTGTTGGTATTTATTAATGCTAACAGAAAGGATCCGCAAACGCACGAAATTACTGTTGTAGCTTTCATCCGGAAGTATTCAGGGTATCGTATTTTTCACAGGGAACAGAGGTATTTCTTCTAGCTAATTCGTCCAAGGACAACACAAGGGGTAAAGTTGGAAAAGGTAGAGACAGATTCCTATGGCTTTTCGGTCTATGAGAAGATAAACTCTACTTCTACTTGCTTACTTCGGGCACCGGATTGCAACTGGTCTGCCAGATCGATGTCGTCCTGTAGCTCTACATCGTACCCGAATGTGAGGGATTACAACGAACAGGGCTGTCACCACCTACCGCCTACTCCTCAACCGAAGGGCATGAGGCAAACGAAGGTAGCCTCTAGCCTAGACACCACGTCTACGCTATCGACTAATACTCTAGCGTTAGCTAGGAACATCCGTCTTTATCAGGAGTCCTCTACTAGAGCATCCGCCACGGGGACGGACGACGAACCCGCAAATAAGTAAAAGCACAGATTAACTACTCAAAGACTTTGAATCATAAGAATCACGAACACTTACTAAATACATGTGGAGGTACAAAGCCAGTGTTCGCCGAGGTACAAGTGGGGGAAGGTTACCGACAAGCCCGGCACTTCTTCCCCTAACTCTTCCCTCACATCTCTCCCTATTTCTCTTATAGAGCTATCTAGGGCCTAAGCCCATTGAATAGTGTTGCTCTTGCTCTTGCTTTAGTGCTCTTACTCTCTTGTGTGTTGTTGAAATGAGGGGGGATGTGGCCTCCTTTTATAGGTGGAGAGGAGGGGGCTCTTTGGAATAATCCCATTCCCTTATGGAAGGAACAAACTGCCTCCTCAGCATTGATTATGCCGACATCCCCACCTGGACCGGCCATAGGAAGGCGGTAAGAGGTGGCCTATGAAGTTTGGGCCCGAACGGGGCCAATAGGGGGTGCAACCGCACCCCCACTAGGGCCTTTGGGCTCCATCTTCGGTGGGTCGACTCCTTTGGATCTCTTGAGTGTGTCCATGTGGGTGCCCGGCAAAGATGAAATGATTTGATTTGGGTTTAGCCTTATTTTCCTCTCATTTGGGCCCTATTTTGCCTAGTTGTGGGCCTCTCTCCTTTGGGCTTGTGTAGAATGGTATTTGTGCTTTGTTCTCTTGCACATTTTTAGCCCTTTTATGTGTATTTCGACAAATGCCCTCCTGCAAATAAATAAACACCAAAACTCGTGAAATTTGTTAGTTATAAACCCTATTACTAAGTTTGGTGTTCATTTGAGTGGATTTTATGCGAGTGTTGGCGGTTAAAAGTGTGAGTTAAGGACCGCCAACAAACTTCCCCATACTTAGCCCTTTGTTCATCCTCGAGCAAAGTTAGAGATAAAAGTAATAACAAGCATAACATCCTAAGATATATGGCTATACATGAAAGTTATTCTAACACATTCTTTATGCAAGTGGGATATGTGGCACTGGCTAACATGTTTCCTTGGGTTGTTGAAAAGTGGAACATTTCTCGAAACAAAGCCATCTTCCCAATTTCACATCTTAGCACTTGGAGTTTTTGAAAGTTTTTTCAAGAAAAGCATGGTTCACTTTATACTCCTTAAATGGCACTCTCAAATCACTCAATGGTGTATATTTCCTCACCAAGGCATATCAAAGTTTTGCCTTCTTTTGTTTTCTCCTACTTCTAAAAGGTTAATTTAGAGCTTTAGGTAGGGATAAACAAAGTAGCATACTTGTATTGCATATGTTGTAAAGTCAAATCGAGGATCCAAGGAGAGAAGTGACATACTCTTAGATCAACATGTGCATGTGTGTGGAAAAAGGTGAACTAAAACTATACTCCTTTTGTAGATATGATCTCTCTCTATAACTTAGTGTTTTGAAACATGGCTATCTTTCCCTTTCTTTCTTTCTTTTCTTTTTCTTTTTTTCAATACATGAGCCTTCATGTGCTCATCATTTTTTTTCTTTTTTTGTACTTGGACCTTCATGTGTCCATATTTTTTTCTTTTAAGCTTTTTTGCATAACCCATGTTTCTTCTTCTAAACCATTTATTTAGAGAGAGATCACTATCTTTAAGAACATGGAGTATTTACCTAACAAACACTTTTTTGTCTATTCCCAGTGTAGGAGCAGAATTTTTGGTGGATGAAAGCATGTTTTTGCATACTCCTAGTGTAGGAGCAACAAGTGTATGTGGAGTGTACGTGATCTTGATCTTGGGAGCATGATAAATCTCTCAACAAGGGTCAACAAGACTTGACCAAACTCAACACAATAACAAGCAGCTTATGTAGAAGGCTTGAAACTTGCAAGATATTATATTTGGCCTTGGTAGGAATTGCTCACCAAATGAGGAGTACGTGATACTATAGTTTTATAACATTTGTATCAAAACAAATTCTCCAAGTGCTTTGAATAGAAACGGTAGGATTTCTAAGTCAGAACTATATCACACCTCACAACAACTTAGTCAACATGATTGTCCTATTAGAATGTTTTCCCACAAGCATAAGTGTATGTATATGGAACAAAATTTATGCAAGCTTCTATCTCAGAATGTTATGAACATGTCACTTTTTAAACTTTCAAACGAAGTGTGGTTTGTATGATTGCATAGGGGCATAAATGGCTCATTGAGTTTTAATTTTAATGATCAAGATTTTGTTTTAAACTCAAGATTGTAAGGAGTTGAGGGTAGAGTTTGCACAAACCATCATTGGAGATGAAGGAGCTAAAGGAGTCAGAAGTGGTTTGGCTAAACCAAAGGTCTAGCCAATCCTCTCTTGAAGCTTTCTGTCTTGTCCTTCTGTATGCTGGATTGTTGATGTT